ATCGGATAGCCAAGGTCAACCAAACGCCATCGACGAGTATGGCTACAACATTGTTGCCAGAAGCAAGGAATCCCAATGTGTCTTTTCCAGTGAACAACATTGGTCTTAAGGACACTCAAGTTGGAGGTGGCCTGCAGAAGCCACTACAAAGAGGTCAGTATCAACATATTTCTAATAAGAATGAAAATAAGAATCAGGGTGGACAATCTGGTTACAATCACGTTGAGCATAGCAAGCTCGCGTATGAGGGGTTGTCCAAGCAACATCGCGATGGGGTTCAATCTAAGCCGCTAGGGGGGCATGAGATCCCACCGCATGGCCGGTTGAAAGAAAAACAACACCGTAAGTGACAAATAATTTTGCCACATCCACCCCATTCTATGAAAAATCAAACTAGGATAACCACAAACACTACTCAAGTTGGAGGTGGTGACCACGTGAAAAAATCTAATGCCACCAAAGTGGGCATGAATCAACAGAACCCTCATTGTCATTTGTCCCCAAAGCCTCCACTGAGTGGACAGGGGGCAAGTTCAATCAACCCCAACATGGAGTTGTCACACCAATGCTGGCTGGGAACAAGTCTTCCATGATTTTCGGACAGGGGGACAAGCTAAATGCCCGAAAACTTTCAATCTCACGTGAAAATTCAAAAGATACCAAGTGGTTCTGTGATAAGTGCATTAATCAAAATAACCACATGACTGTTGATGAAGCTCGTAAGTCTCAAACTCAACAACGTCGTAATTGTGTGCAGCTCACAAAACAAGACCAGTCTGGGCAAGCGATGCCACATGGTCGATTTGACAGGACAAAGACGTTAGAAAACTTCAATGTCCCGCCAAGAGTAAAAAACACCGGTGATTTTCTCTGCCACGACCCTGTGGCTAAGATGAAGCCAAATCAAGCTCGTGGAATTTCAAACCAAGTTGTTCGAGCTCGACGAACTGGAGAGCTACAAACCACCATTGATTCCAAAACATCAAAACCAACGCGTGTGAAGCCAGCTGTGATGAATCATGGACTTTACGGATGGCTTGTCTGGTTTGATCCATGGAGTTGGCAGTGGATGTGGACTTTTGGCATAATGATTTATGCCAAAGTCTAGTCGTTATTTATTTATTTAGATATTATTAAGTAAATAGAGTGTGGCTAATTTAGGCCACGAGAAAATTACTATATATATAAAAAGTAGCATGGCAAAGCTTGCCGCATCATTGCGAGCAATATTAAATATTTAGAATGGGTCGCTTTGATTTTAAAAAAAAATGCGGCCTGGTTAAAACATTTTTTCTTTATGATACAACATTTTGACGGACAACTTTTTACGATGAATAATAGTGACCGTTTTATAAATTATTTTGAATTTTAGTGACAAATTTGTTATAAGCCCATAATGCAGTGATCAATTCGTTAATAAATGATTCTACAATATTGTTGTATTGGTGAATGTCTATGCACCCAACTTTATATATTACTCCTCCCAGGTCCCTGCTTTCTGTACGTGGGCACCGGGCAGTGTCGCCCACAGGCTAGCACGACACGGCATGATTAGAGCACGACACGAGCACGGGCATGAAATAAATGGGCCAGCCCGGCACGAGGATGAATAATTTATGGGCCGTGTCGGGTCTAAACTTCATGGGCACGAGCACGGGCACGGCACGGTAGATACAGCGGCGGATCCAGAACACAGAAGGGCACTGGGCCGCATTTCATTAGAAAATTTGAACTGTAAAAAAATATTATAGTTTTTTTACAATATAAATTGTACACGACGGTATTTTAATTTAGCGAATACATCAATAATGGAGTCTACATCCATACCAATAGTATACACTGTTTTAAATAAAATACTTGAGCAATCGGCGAGAAATTCATCGCTCGTTTTGTTGCACAAAATAGTTTTCATATGTTTCATTGTTGAAAAGGTTCTACCCTAGTAATTGGTGATACGATCAACGTCAACGCTAGACAAATCAATCGTGCATTGTGTGTCCATACATATATCCATTAGCTGCTTTAGTAAATTTTCAAGGAATAAAACTCATATTTCTTATAGTCTTTTACGTTTAGACTTTTAGAATTTTAGATTTCATTGTTTTTTTAGAAGAATAATCTTTGGAGGTAGAATTTCTAGGCTAAATTTATAGTAGTGATTTGAATATGTTAATTTGAATCATTTTTCTAGTTACACCCAATTTTGTTATAAAAGAACACTAGGCCGAATAACTAAAATCGAAAAATTCATAAAGACTATACTAACTCCGGATCCAGAGGAGGGCTGGGCCGGGGCCCGGGGTGGCCACCCCCTGGATCCGCTAGTGGGTAGATAAGTGGGCCGTGTCGGACCTAATATTTTCGAGACTTTATTGAGTATAAGAACGGACATGACACGAAAATAATATTTATTTGATAAAAAATAAATATTAAAAGAATTATAGGTTCAAATATTACAAAACACAAGTAGAAAAATAATTATTTGTTGTTGTTAGAAGTGTCATAAAGATATATACGTAATTACTAACATAAGTAAAAATGGACAAAGAATTAAACAAAGCCAAATCACACTCGCTATATTTCCAATTTTCTTTTCCCCCTAATTTGTTACTTTTCTCAAACATTATCGGTTAATACTATCTTCCCCGTCCAATTTTCACCTTCTTTTTCATTCTCTTTTTTGTTTTCGTCATTTTCATTCAACACGAATACGAGCATGGCAAGAGCACGAATAGACACGACACGATTCGAACCGTGTCCGGGCCTGGGTCGGGCCTAGCAAAGTTAATAAATGGTCTTGCATAGCACAGCACGAAAACTGTCGGGCCGTGCACGACACGAAATAAATGGGCTCAAAACATGCCCGTGCCGTGCCGGCCCAAGCACGGCCCAGCGCCCACGTACACAGTGCTTCCTCTGCAAAACCCAACATTATCCCTCCAAACGCCACAACACAAATGGAAGAGATAACCCACAGAACTGGGTCCGGATCACCTCAGTAACCATCCCATCAGTAACCATCAGTAACCCCTTCCCCTGGCCCCCACGTGTCAGCTTTTTCTTTTTATTTTAAAAAAATACGGAGGGGCACTAAGGTAAAATTGCACCCCTATTTAATGATGTCTCTGACGCGCTGACGCTGACCAGATCACATCAGCTTCTTCTCTCTCCTCAAACAACCTTTAATTTTCCTTCTCTTAATCTTTAACGGACGATTTCTCACTCGTTTTAAGTCGGAATTTAATTTTTTTTGCACAGTTAGATCAGATTAATTGTGTTCTTCAAAATGATATCCACTTTGATATTTTTCAGACATAAAAAAATTTGTCAGTTATTACCAGTCATTACCATATGATAATGACTGGTATTGACCATACCATATGGTATGAAAAATTTTGGCACATCAATATATATTACGTTACCACCCAATACCATATATTGATATTACCACACTATACCATATGGTATAGTGTGGTAATATCAATATATATTTCATTACCACCCAATACCATATGGTATAGTGTGGTAATATCAACATATGGTAAATCTAACTACCATACAATACCACCATAGTAGAACATGGTTAATCGAATGAACACAAATTAATTGTAATTACCATACAATACCACATGGTATGAGAAGGTAAAACCATACAAAAATAATATAAATCTAATTACAATCCTTTACGACCATAGTAAAACACGATATCCATGAAAATACATTTCGTTACCACACTTTACCATATGGTATAGACACATTACCATATGGTATAGACACATTACCATATGGTATATACAAATTACCATATGGTATAGTGTGGTATATACACATTACCATATGGTATATACACAATTACCATATGGTATATACAAATTACCATATGGTATATACACATTACCATATGGTATAGTGTGGTAATCTCGGTATATATATATATACAATTACGACTCTCTTCACTTTCTTCTCCAGCTTCATTGTCTTCTAACTCTTTTTTCTCAGAACTGGAGTCGATTACCACCCACTACCACCATGATAAAACTCGTGACCATAAAGATACATTTAGTTATCACACATTACCATATGGTATAGTGTGGTAATACCAATACATATTACCTACAAGGAAGAAAACAGAAGGAGGGAGAGACAAAAAAAACTCGTCTTCTGTCTCCTCTCATTTCTCCTCTGCAATCAAGAACACCAAATGCAACAACAAAAAAGAGGAGGAAGATCGGAATTGAAAATTCACAAACAAATACTAAAATATAAAACATGCAAACTTAACTCACATAGATCCGTCCCCTCTTTGTCAATATGGAACGTCATCTATTTTGAGGCCGAGAAAAGAAAGAACATAAGGAAGAAGCAGCTGCAAAGAGATTAGATCTAGAGAAGAAAGACATTGGCAGAGAGAAAGGAACAAAGAAAGAGGAGATTGCTAGAGAGAAAAATGAAGAACAGAATAAGAGATTAGATGTAGAGAATAAGGAGAATGAGAGAGAAAAAGGAACAAAAAAAGAGGAAAAGAGAGTTGCAGAGATAAGACACTAACTCTCTCTCCTCCATGCAAAGCAAACTAATAAATGTTGAACAAATTAAAAAAAGGAAACAATTAAAAATTCAAAAAGCGGACAGAAATACCCCTCATCACCCCGCATCAATCCCAGCCACATGATCGCTCCGTCCTAGATTAACGGCTCCGGGTGAGTTACTTACAGATCAGTAACCAGTGGTTACTCACTGTATCCCAAGCCCACAGAACTCTCCACGCCAATGGCGTCAACATGCACATAGCTGAAAAGGGTCAATGTCAAGGCCAAGGCAATCCTGTTCCTCCACGGATTCCCCGAGCTATGGTTCACATGGCTTCACCTCAGGGGCTACGGGGCCACCGACTAGCCGCCCGGCCCGAGGCAGGCCTACACGTGCCACCACATCGTGGTCGTGGCTGACCTTGTGGCCCTGAGATCGGGGCATTTGTTTGCTTGAGTGTTCCTTTCAGGCCTAGGAATCCCAAGATGAAGCCTGTTGAGGGGATGCGGCTTGTGTTTGGAGAGGACTACTATATGTGCAGATTTCAGCTTCTTTGGAATGTTCTTAGTGTTGGGTTTCCTGCTTCTCACTTCTTTGTTCTTTACTTTGTCGATCTTCTTAGTGAAACTTGCATGAATTATTGCATTTGAATCTTCAATGCAAATTTCGTTTTTGTTTTTGTGTAAATGGGCAGGAAGCAGGAGTTATTGAAGCTTAGATATCAAAAGCTGGGACAGCTGAAGTGCTGAAGAAGATCCTAAGTGATAGGAAACCAAGTCCTCCGTACCTAGATTTGTAAGTTCACCTCCCGTTTTGCATTACATGGAGTTGGTTATGATGTAATAAACATCTACAGAAGTAAAAACCAGATACAACAGGTGACCAATGAACGAAATCTCAAATTTGCACACATCCATTTAGGTTCTATACTAATCAGAATGGACCGATCTGTTTCTTTTGTAGGAACTGGGAGCTTACTCGGGCATGGACCGACACACCGGTGATGGTGCCAGTCAAGTATGTGGTGGGTAACGAGGACATGTCTTACACTACGCCGGGGGTGAACGAGTACGTGCATGGAGGTGGGTTCAAGAAGAATGTGCCATTGTTGGAGGAGATCGTTGTGATGGAAGGAGTGGGTCACTTTCTCAACCAGGAAAGGGCAGGGGAGATCAATGGTCATATCCACAACTTCATCAGAAAGTTCTACTAGTCCTTTTGCTCACTGCTTGTAGCTTCATTGAGTTGCTTTCCACATGAAAGATTCCAGATGAATATGCGTTTGTCATCATCCTAGTTTGAGGATGGATTTCTAGAAGTGTTTTCCTGTCTCTGTTTGTCATTAAGAAGTATGTATCAGGTATGAATGCAAGAGAATCGATTATGGACTTTAGTGGTTTAGAGAAGGTGCTTCCTATATAATTTCTTCTGAGTTAGATCTGTAGCATCTCCAACTTCATCTTCAAGTTGATCATAACACCCTACGATTGAGATCAAATTAGATAAACCAGCCATAAGGCAACACAAAGTACCAATGTGTTGCTGCAATTTCCAGAAATGTGGCAACCTTAAGTAGAACCTGAAACTCTGCCCTTGGAAGTTAAGAGTAGCATTCCCTAACTGTTTCAATGAAACTAGAATGAGAACTTAATAGCCACAATTTAGAGTTCATAAATCGAGGCAGATGCATAATATGATAACCCCAAAAGCATTCAAACGATAACAGACACACAACGAAACTTGGTTGATAGATGGACTATGGTTCTAGCAAAAAATTTGAGAATTGCAAGTGTAGGAGAGAAGTAACACAAACAGCCTCTGGTACATAAACAACTATGAAAACCAACTTAAACTCTAAATCCTCTGCTGTTCCTCCTGCCCCTAGCTTTCTCAAACTTCCTTCCCTTCGATCTGACATAGGGCTTGGAGTGGCTGTGTGGCACACCAGGTGCTGGGCCAAAGTGCTTCACTGCCTCACGAGCATTCTTAGGACCCCTGAGAAGAACCTGCAAAAACCAATACAATCCTAGTTAAGAACTTGACACAAGTGTGCAATTAATTAACCAAAAGCCAATTCATGGATCCATCCACAGCATATTGCTCAAAAAAGCTGGCCTAGATGTTCACAGATGGGATTACTACTGAGAACTCAGTCCCTTAGATGTTGATAAAGAGTTGCAATCATCACCGCAAATCATTACAGGTCTGTTTGGCTCATCACAGTTCCATCAATAACTCCCATTTACCAATAAGACCCAGATCCCTAGCTAACCAGTCATTCAATGCAACAAGCTCATATCAACGCATTTGAAGAGAAGTGCTAATCAAACCATGGAACAAAATAAAAGCGAAGAATCATACTGTGTTCTGGCCAAGAGGAGCTCTCAAGGCAAGCTGATCAAATGTCAAGCATTCACCACCAGCCTTCTCGATTCTGGCTCTAGCAGTCTCGGTAAACCTCAGAGCAGTAACCTTAAGGGCAGGAACATCATAAACCCTAATGTCATCCGTTATTGCTCCCACAATCACTGCAATCTTGTCCTCCTAAACAAAACCAAGAACAAACAAACAATACCCATCAAAATCTCATACCCATAGCAACCAAAAGAAAATTTCAAATTAACATCTTGTCGAAAGTGTTCAAAAGCCCAACCTTGCCCTTCATGAATCGAATGAGCCTGGAGAGGGAAAGTGGAGGCTTGTTGATCTTGCTCATGAACAGCCTCTTCAACACAACGGCATTGAAGCTGCTCCCGGTCCTCCTTACCAGAAACCGGTAAAGCTGATGATATTCACGCAAAAGCCAATTCACTCTCAGCCAAATCTCATCCAGTCAAAAACAGATTAAACTAGCTAAAAAAACTTATCGAAAAAGAGTTTCTAGTACCTTGACGAGAAGCTTGAGGTATATATCATTTGATTTGGGAGCCGTACGCTTGGTTTTCTTGCTCTTACCTCCAGCCTTCAAATCTATCCCCTATTGAAAATCAAAAATGGAAAACAGTCGTTACTTCCGAAACCCAGGAGAAGAGTTGAAACAGCGGCAAAAGTTGCGAGGGCGAACCATTGCTGCCGCCGCCGGTGAGATCAGAAGCGCCTCTTCTGGTTTTGCTGGCGGGTGAAAGACCTACTGGCTAACGAAAATGAAACTAGGGTTGGGGAGGAGAATATATATAGTGGTATGATACAACAAGCCCTGAAACACATTTGTTATTGGGCCGCTTGTAAAGATGGGCCGAAACGGGCCTTGTATGTTTGTACCTTAGGCACAAAGAACTCTCCGTCGAACTTATACTAGTGGCGGGGATGGTTTGGGTCTGAATGGAACCGAGTTGAATTACAAGCACCTCCAACTAGGGTTGTTCAAATGGTTACCGTGGTAATAACCAAATCAAATAAGTCTAAATTTTATTAACCACAGAATACAATATCATAACCAAACCGTCCAAACTAATACAACAACCAAATTAACCAAACTAAAGTTTATTCGGTTTGGTTAATTGGTTAACCAAAATAACCAATATAACACCACATTATCATTAAGTGAGAAAATTTTTCAGTTAGTGCATCAATTCGCAATTTATATAATGAACAACACATAACAATCCACATAATTGTAGTTAACCTTAACCTAAATACATGTAACAAATACAATTATCTTACATTTGACTCTTGAGTGTTATGCAAAGTATTAAGTATGTGTATATAATATATATTATATATATGGCTAATTACTTAACTGGTTAATTTGGTTTGATTGGTTAGGAGTGCCTGAAACCAAACCAAACCACCTAAACCAAACAACCTAAATTTTTTAACCAAACCAAACCAATTATCGAAATTAACCAAACCAAATTATCCAAATACTACTGGTTAAAATGGTTACCACGGTAACCACACCGTTTGAACACCCCTACCTCCAACCCCTTTGCTTTCTACAAATTGCTCGATCTAGTGGAATTCTAAGAGCATGCACGATGAATTTTTTTTTCACCTCAATATTTTTGCAATTCAATTCATATGAATGGCACTGCACCTACATCCATGCAATTCACTTGCAATTACATATGTAATTAAATATTATGTTAATCTGCAAAAAATATTATGTTTAAATTATAGAAAATAAAGTAAAAAAAGAAGAAAATGATATAAAATAAAATAAAAAATCATCATTTTTAAGCATTGTTTAATTGTATATGCAATTGAATTTGTTGTAAGAGCATCCACATCAAGGTATCATATTCAATTGCAAAGTGACATGGCAATGAAAATGCAATTATTGCATATTAATTGCATTGATGGAAGTCTCAGTTACAATAATGAATTGAAACCTGCCATTTTTTGCAACTTCATTTGCAATTCCACGAAGGCATTTATGAATTTCTTTATTCTATGTATGGATAAAATAATAATTATATAAATCTTTATTTTATTAAAAAATAAATTGTGCCTACATATGCAATTGTAAGTTAATCTTATTGATGTATATAAATGATAGTAATGTGAGTTGGATTGCAAAAGAACTAAGATGACATTAAAAAGCATAAATGCAATTGGTTTTACAATTGCATTGATGTAGATGTTCTAAGGCTGCAAATATGCAAATTGGTGGTCACACCAATGCTGTTAGTTTTGCCATTGCAAACACTCACGTCATGTCATCTTAATTAAAAATGCAATACCAATATGGATGCTCCAAGTAGGCATCACTTTTAGACAATTGCAAGGATGTGGAGTTTTTTCTTATTTAGCAAGATTGTAAATTTTTTTTCTTTTTCTTTCATCTGCAATTGAGCACATGAATTATTGAACATTAATAATTCTTGTATTTATGGTTTTTTAAGTTGTTAATAAATTAGAAAAAAATCATAAATTACATTTTAATTATATTGGTTCAAATGTAATTTAATATGACCAACGAACATAATAAATACTACTTATGTTATTAAGCATTTAACTAAAGTGTTGAAGTGTTGTAAATTGATATTCCGCTCATCTTATACGAACTGTTATTTTTACTTTGCACACTAGATATTACCAACACTCACTTTATTTCTAGCGTTTTCTTAATTTTGGTAATACTTAAGAATGATTCTTCACGCATTCAATATGGCCAAGGAACATAATATATGCTACATATGTACCTTAACCCAATAATAGTGTATAAGTTGATAGTTTCATATGAAGTTTAAGAATCATACGAATTTGATGTTATCAACATAGCTAGCCCATATGTAAATTGTGAAGTCCAATTTACTCATGAAATTCACCTTCGTGTTTTCCACATGAAATTTTATGATTCAATTTGCATATATAATACCAATTCATGGGGTAAAATCTAAGTAAATGAATTCTATGTGTTATCATTTATCAAAGTAAGATAACTATGAGATATTGGTGAAAATTAAATTATTTTGACTAGATATTTACAAATTTTTCCAGTAATAATGAATGATACAAAATTACAAGCTCATTTTGAGTCAACGATTTTTTCGTTAGTTTTCTCTTCTTAGCTTATAGAGTAAATTACATGTTTAGTTGCTTGAATTATTAACTTTAATCAGCTCTCGGATTCAAAAAATATTTTCTTGCTCGTTAGTCATTTACTTAACAGTTTGTCTAGCTGTCGGTCTTTAGCTGTCTAGTTTCATTAAATTTATCCAATATAGGTGTCAACACTGATAATTGACCATTTAGTGGATGATGTGGTGATAAAGAATAAAAAATTCATTTTACATTATCTATAGAAAAAGGAATGAGTTCTAGGGAGAAATGTACATTCATAGGTGGGTAGAAGGCAAGGAGATGCATTTTTAGTGGAATGAGGAAGAGATGTGGGGGGAGGTATGTCGTCGAGATCAAAGATCAATGGAAGAAGAGCTACGTATGACTAGGAACTTTCGAAACACAAATGAAACCTCATGCGCCCGCCGCTTAGATGTTACATGGGTCATGACCAACACCGATATCCTTTTTCCCAATTGTGCTTTCAATTCTTTTATTTTCCACCATTTTGGTGATTGATAACAACAAAAGGCAATCGTCACAGTCAACAATTTTTCCACGTCGGCCTAGAGCAACAAGCAGAATCTCACCCAGCGCAGCACAGTGTAGTTATTCAGTAGGAAAGCTTTGGCGTCGATGATGATAGACGCGTCACCTCCTCTAGATCTGAATTTGGGGGCCATGGGTGACTTGGGTGTCACCATTACCGTCCATTTTCCTTTTCCATGAATGGGATTCGTACGATAAGAGGTTGGGAAAAAAATGTTTGGTGTTTGTTTGGATGGAAATCGCACTAGGCGGATAAAATGTGTATGAATAGTAGATTTGTGTGTTTTTTTAATTAAATGATATGATTAACCAATACTACTAACACCAGGATTAACGGCCAAATTACAATTGACTATCCATAATTACTAACACCCTCCCTCAACGCAACATCAATTTGTATGCAAGAAACCAGTGCTAGGAAGAAGCAACCTCCTTAGTGAGCAAATCTGTCATATGTTCTTTATAAGTAATATACGACAACGTGATCAATCCTTCACACAACAGTTGACGAATGTAGTGTACACTGTACATGAATCTCAATATGCTTTGTGTGATCATGCAGAACAGGATTAATAGCAATACGAATAACACTCATATTATCAGCATACAAGGGCAAGGAACAACACACGACATACCAAGCTCAGAAATCAAGCGCTGAAGCTAGAGCACCTTAGAGGTGACCTCAGACATAAAATGATACTAAGCCTCCATGGAAGACTTGGACACTCTCTCTTGTTTCTTACAACACCAAGATACAAAAGAAGAGCCAATCTTGACACACCAGCCAGAGGTAGAACGACGAGTGTCCAAACAACCAGCATAATCAGCATCGGCATAGGCCTCGATAACAGTATCCCCAGATGAGGAAAAGAACAAACCAACATCAGACGTACCACGAAGATAGCGCAAGATTTGGGTCACAGCCACCATGTGGGTAGTTCGGGGCGCAAACATGAGCTGACTAACCACCTGTACAACATATGAAATATCCGACCAAGTGTGAGTAAGATAGATCAAACTCCCAACAAGACTGCGATAAGAAGAACCATCTAGAAGAAAATCACCATCAGATTGTCTCAACTTCAGATTTGCTCCATCGGAGTCGCACAAGGCTCACAACCATCCACATGAGTTGTTTCAAGAAGATCAATAATGTACTTCTGCTAACTAACCAACAGATCTGTAGATGACCGATGAACCTCAAGACCCATAAAATAAGAGGCATCCCCAAACTCCTTGAGGTTAAAAGTCGCTCGCAGATGACCGGTAAGAGACTGAATACCGGCAATATCATCACCACTTACCAACATATCATCAACATAAATCAGTAACACGGTAATCCCCGGAATCGTGCGTCGAAGAAACAAGGACGGATCGTTGTTACTCTAAACAAACCCATCAAACAGGATCGTGTCGTGGAATTTCTCAAACCATGCATGTGGTGCCTGCTCAAGCCCATAGAGGGACCGACGAAGCAAGCAAACCTTGGAATTATCACCAGACTGATAACCCGGAGGACATTCCATGTAAATGGTTTTCTTAAGATCCCCGTGAAGAAAAGCATTCTTCACATCAAGTTGCTACAGACGCCATCAAATAATGTACGAACCGTATGCATTTTAGCCATCGGAGAAAAGGTTTCTTCATTGTCAATCCCGAATTCCTACTTAAAGCCTTGAGCAACAACTGAGCTTTGAAGCGCTCAAGAGAACCAGCATAGTGCAACTTGACATTATAGACCCACCTGGAACCAATAACAGGCGCAGTAGTACTGTAGTAGGATGATCCATAACGTCCCAAGTATGAGGAGCTTCGAGAGCATGCATTTCAATATTCATAGCATTATCCCAATCAGGATTCCATGAGCCTATTTATATGTGGCTGGAACAGGTATATGGGAGGTAGAAAATGCAACAGAATCATACATATGGGGGGCGGAACACCTTTGGTTGCACGCAGGGAACGATGAGGCTGAGGTACATGTCCTCATCGACGAGATGCTTATCAACGGAGGGCCGAGACTCCTCACCTGAAGAAGAGGACGAAGTCTGGACAGTTGTTGAGGGGGAGGAGGACAACAACGGAGAAGTCTGGTGAGCTGCCGAGCTCGGTGAAGACGAGGACCAATCATACTGAAGAGACGAGGCTTCATGCGGAGGTGATGAGGGATCCAAAATATCATCAAACTGAGCAGAGATAGAGGGAAACTCTGGAAGAGGACGAAGAAAATCCAGGTCAGGTCGTGAAGGATGTTTCATCGCGCCATAGTGCAAAATATGATCAAGGAAAGCCACATTACACGAGATACGAACACGTCAATTTGGCACATCATAGCAAACATAATCTTTGTGCTTGTCGCTGTAGCCAACAAACACACACTTTGAATCCTTAGGAGCTAGCTTATGACGTTCACGACGAGGTAACAAAATATAGCAGACACAACCAAACACACATAGTCCCTAATAATCAGGTTTCTTGCCGAACAAAGCTTCATAAGGGCTGCGCGGACCAAGAGTTGGGTTTATGTGCCAATTAATTAAGTGCACCACTGTATGAACCGCTTCCACCAAAAAACCAGTCGGAACACAGTACTAAAAAAGAGGGCTCGAGTAAGCTCTAAAACGTGGAGATGTTTATGCTCAACTAGTTCGTTCTGCTTAGATTCATCCGGACAAAACTGTTGTGGTTAGATGCCCAGAGCCTGGAATACGACCTGTAATGGACCAGAGATAAACTCACCACCTGGATCATACCTAACAATCTTAACTTGTCGACCAAATTGGGGTTTACCCATCTGCAAGAACTCTTTAGCCACTTGAAGCAAATCAGACTTGTGGCGAAGAAAGTATATCCAGGTAAATCGCGTAGCAAAATCAACAAAGAGGGCGAAATAGCGAAAACCAACATGAGAAGTCACGTGAAGGCCCCCGTAAGGCAGTATGGACTAGATCAAAATGGTCAGAATAAACAGAGGTACTCGAAGTAGGGCTGGATTTTTGGTTAGTTCGGTTATAACTGATAATCGAAATGTCGGTTACCGGTTAATCGCGACGCCACCAATGGCTACCGCCAACCGCCCGACGGAAGCTGTCGGTTAGCCGGCAACCGACCGATCGGTTATCGGCTAGTTGCTCGGTTAACCGAAGTAACCGCGAGCCGCAATGGCCGCCGGTTTAACCGAGTAACCGCCTATTTCGTCGACGACAGGAATCAGCGACAAGAGGTTATCCTCCAGAGCGGGGATCCAATTCAAGCCTGGGTGGAAGTTCTCGGCGAATGGAGACCCAACCCCACCGCTCAACATCTCCCTGCTCTCCTCGCCGCCGCCGGAGGAGAAATCCCCGTCGCGTTTTGCACCCTCGGTAATCGCTCTCATATCTGCTCTGTGCGCCGTCACTGTTGTTTTTTTGGGGTACTCATTTTCGCTACTCTGTACAAAAGAGTAACGATGCGATTCGAAGCTCTCGAGGATTGGGAATTGGAGTGCCGCATAGATTTCCCTACCGAGATCTCTATTCCGGAACAAGAGGATTCAGCGACAGCGAGATGATCGAGATAGGCGGATTCGGCGCATTCTACCGAGCGATTATCCCCAAGTCCGGATCTCTACTCGCCGTGAAGAAGATAACCCCTGATTCGATCCAAGGGATTAGGGAATTCGCGGCGGAGATTGAGAGTTTGGGGAGATTACGGCACAAGAACTTGGGGAACCTTCAAGGTTGGTGTAAGCAGAGGAGCGATCTCCTTCTCGTCTACGATTACATTCCCAACGGGAGCCTGGATTTCTTCCTCTACGGCAGGCGGCAGGAGGCAGCGGCAGGCGGTGCCGGCAGTTGCTCTCCACTCTCGACTCTCGCGATGCTGCAGAAGAGAATGAGAGATTGAGGGTCTGCTCGCTCGATGACGATTAGGGTTTAGGGAGTATCTCGGTGGCGTCGTTTTGCTTGAGGCGGGGCTAGTCGTGCCGGTTAGCCGGTTAACCGGCACGACCAGCCTCGCAACCGCCCGCAACCACTTTTTTCAGTTATTCGGTTAACCGGTAACCGTCGGTTATCAATTTAACCGGCCGGTTAACCGGCAACCGATAACCGAATGCATCCCTAACTCGAAGTAGAAGACTGTCGGGACAAGTTGGCCTCAATGCAATGCACACAATCACGAGAATCTGAAGCTAAACTACCAGACAATAACTTGTTTTTAAACATCTCAAATAAACGTGCAGAATGTGGGTGGCCTAACCGACGGTGCCACAAATCCTAATTCGACAACTTAACCGAAAAACTGGTTTGATCACTCTTCCTCTCCAAACTATCACAAACACGAACAGAATTCAAAGCATTAGCATCAACATCACAACCTGCGGTAGCCTGCAACCCTTTGTAGCTGTCGAGCGTGAAAACTTGTCCCACCTTAGTCCCTCGGTCTCTCTCCTTTCCTGTGCTCGTATCCTGCACCACACAACCATGTGCATCAAAGATAATACGACAACCCTATTTAGCTAGCTTCGCTACGCGACGCGAGACTGGGAACGAGATGAGGCACATGTAAAGTATCAGAAAGACACAATTTTTTCTGAGCTATATCACTAATACCCTGTGCCGATATACAAGAACCATCCGCAACTTGCAACATAAGAGAAGAATGTAGCGCAACAAACGAAAAGGCAGTCGAGACCCAGTCATATGATTAAATGTCGTAGAACCAAGGTGCCAAGAAGCAGGAGAAAGAGAAGACATAACTGCAGTAAATACAGAACCAAGAGCCATGGGTAAAGCTTCTTTGATCACCTCCTGGACCAGCTGGTGAGTGAAATCAACCGAGACACCAGACGATGAGGATGACGAGACGAAGCTAGCAAAAAGGGTCGTTGTGGCATACGCTTGGCCAGCAGCAGCAATGCGAGAAGAACTGGAAGAGCTAGATGATCTGGGACCACGAGAACAACCGCGCTTAGCTAGGATCGAACAATCACCAATCTTGTGGCAGAATTCCTTACAGTAATTGTAAACATTCCTCTTCAGATAGCGATTCTGAATATGACCAGGTTCCTTACAGAAGAAGCAAACAATCTCACCCGACGAGGTACGATCAAAACCAAGGTTCTGAGCCAGCCGCGAAGGGCGACTGATTCGATGAAACAGACTTGCTCGAGGAGTCCTTGGAGACAGAAAAAAATCAAACCACAATCGGCCGACTGATGCACATCGAGCTTTGCTTGACTACAAAACTGAGTTCTTTCATAGACAAGCTCCCCAAGCACATCCTCAATCTTGGTGACATTCCGAGGAAGCAAAGAAGCGCTAATACCTTAAAAGTCACAGTGCAGTTTCATTAAAAATTGCATGAGATGAGAGCTGGAGCGCTCTCAGAGAACTTTCGCAAACGCCTCAGACGTGAGAAGAGACGTGGTCAACTGATCGTGTTCCTTCATGGACAAGCTCCCCAAGCACATCCTCAATCTTGGTTACATTCCGAGGAAGCAAATAAGCGCTAATACCTTTAAAGTCACAGTGCAGCTTCAATAAAAATTGCATGAGATGAGAGCTGGAGCGCTCTCGGAGAACTTTCGCAAACGCCTCAGACGTGAGAAGAGACGTGGTCAACTGATCGTGTTTCGTCTAGAGGCTCACAGCAACTTGATAGTACGATCGGACATCCATGTTGCCCTGATGGAGACGCGCTAAATCCATCTCAACCTCAAATTTGGGAGAGGGACTCGGCTGTGAATGCACCGCGGCAAGGTGACTCCACATCGCATAGGCGGAGGTAAAACAACAGAAGATAAGATCCAAACCATAACTTGAGCGTTATGAATCTCTCAATCCTCCTTATCCTTGGCTGGGGCATCAACAACCGACATCATCGAGGCACCATCAAGAAAACCAGAGAGACGGTGACCCTGAACAAAGAGGCGGAGCTGCAGCTCCCATAGGAAAAAAATTTTGTCGTTAAACCTAATAGAGACCGTGTCCAACTTGGAAAGAGAGAGATCCCCATTAAAAAGGTTTGGCGATTACCCACCGTCATTTAAAGGGAAATGGCTCCATCGCACCCAACCAAGAAACCAAAAGGAACAAGAGACAACCGAAAAGCAGAACAAGGAAGCAGAAATCAAGCACGAACCAGAAACCCAAACACGAGAGCAGTAGCAACCCCAAGGATAGTCGTCGAATCAAAAAATGCAGCGAGATTAATCTAGAGGCACTGATACCATGTTAAACATAACAACAAGAGAAGGATAATAAGACAAACACCGAGATTTACGTGGTATCCTCAACGTATTGTTGATACTAGAGGTGCAAATGGATTTGATTGGTGGATCCATGGATCAAATGGATTGGTGGATTCATGGATTGGATCAAGTGGATTGGTAGATTATCCATAAATCAAAATGACATCCTCAACCAAGGACCGATATGTAAAATGCAAAAAAGTTTAGGTAGTAAAATGTCACAATAAAAAATTTAGGTACCAAAATATAACTCTCTAATGATATTTTTCGTATAAAAAATAAATGTTAGGTACCAAAATGTAAAAAATAAAAATTATAGGTACTAAATTTTAATTTGTCAATGATCCATGGATCCAATCCATGAATCCACCAATCCAATTGGATTTTGATAAAATGGATTGGATTTAAATGGATTGGATTAGTTGGATATTTTTAATGAATTGGCGGATTGGATTGAGAATTGCCACCTTTAGTTGAGACTTATCCACGGAGAGGAGCATGGAAGCTACCATAGACATACCGCATACGGTGTTTGCGATGACTCATGACGACATGGCAATGGGAAACTTCAAAGTAATAATTGATTTGTGCCACTATAATTAGCCTCTCACCAAGAAATACACGAAGGCAACAGAAACCTCAGATCCCTCCGCCTCAGCAAGCAATACAAGAAGGCAACAAAATTGAGAGTGGAATTGTGCGCTTGTAATAAACCGTGCTCCCTCATTCATCAATTCGCCCTCCATGAGTTGTTAGTTCGCGAATATTTGCGACTTCACCCAAAATCGTCATTCACGTGCGGAAGCGTGAACGTGGGAGCTAAATGGACGAATTAGGTTACGTAAGGTCATACATAACAATCAACTATACTACTTTGACTGTTATGTGAGTAATGTGTTCATTGAAATTGTTTTCATTTTTTAATGAACACATCCTAGATCTTAATAGGCATTTTCTCGCTGATCTAATTAATTATTTAGCTGGTTGGTAATCAATAACGTTCCACTCCCCCATTTCTTCCCTGGGGTAGCTCCCGTTCGAATAGTTATACCTTAAGAAACAATTTCTTTTCGTCTTCCTTGGTCGATATTAGATTCAGATAGATTCCCCTCTTTTATTTTGCTTTTTTCTGTGGGGTTGATTTCTTCTCTTTTTCTTCTTTCCCGAATTTATTTTTGTTTTGTTTGTGTTAGTTCCATTCCATGATGTAGAGTGGGCAATTGAGTTTATTTAGCCATATAATTGACTTTGGCTTACAAAATTTCCTCCAGTCTCCATCCGTCGCCTGGAACGAATAGACTCATATCATCGACCAATCTTCAGCAATTCTGTGGTGCAGTTACTGCGCTAGTGCCGTCACAATTTTCAAACCAGTTCAAATAAAAGGGTTTTGTTTGTCATTAATGGATGGGTCTGATTTAGCTTAAAAATTAATAAAACAAGAAGGGTAATGTCTATTTTTTATCCAAATCTTTTTCAAATTTTTTTATATTATCCAAACCTATTAAATGCTATTATTTAGCCAAATCTTGCGTAATGCATCAAAATATTAGCCTTTTTTACGTTATCGTTAATAATTTTGTAACTTATTTTTAGTTAAAATACTAAATTTTGGATGCCAAGGAAGTAGGATAGCTGGCCTAAGTCACGAACTACAAATCTGTCCTGCAAATAGAGAAGAAGTGATTGCAAGGCAGAGCCTTGATTGCCAGTGATTAGAATATCGTCAACATAAACAAGCATGTAGAGACGAAGGGAGCCGCGACTGAGGATGAACAGCGGTGAATCTGTCTTCGAGCCCCGGAAATCATAGCCAAAGCCTGACGAAGACAATGAAACCAGGCTCGCGGAGCTTGCTTGCGACCGCAAAGGGGCTTTCGAAGATGACAAACGTGAGAGGGGCGAGGTGGATCGACGAAGCCAGGAGGTTGCTGCATATAATTATCCTCGGAGAGATGACCGTGGAGAAAAGCGTTGGTGATGTCCAGTTGACGAACCAGCCACTATTGAGAGACAGCGAGGGAGAGGAGGGGACGGAGTGTAGTGGGCTTGAGGACAGGACTGTATGTCTCGCCAAAGTCTAGGCCGGGTCGTTGTTGAAAGCCATGAGTCACAAGGCGCTCTTTGTAGCGTTCGATCGAGCCGCCAGAGCACGTTTTATGCGAAAAATCCACTTGCAGGAGATGATGTTGCGAGCAGAGGCCAGGGAGACGAGGTTCCAGGTCTGGTTGCGGAGCAGAGCATTGTATTCCTCAAATATAGTAGCTCTCCACTTAGTGTCACGGAAGGCCTGGCGCGCTGTTTTGGGGATGGGTGGTAAGGGAGAAGAGGTGTTGAGGAATGTTTTGGCCTTTAAATGGCCAGTTTGGTAACGGGTTCGCATGTGATGGGATGGAGGAGGGTGGGTGGCTGTACAGGGAATTGGGTGACGACCGACAGGAGGTTGTACGGGAGATGAAGTCGAAGGAGGAGGAGGAGGGTTGGGGGTGGAGCGGGGAGGCTGATTGGGTTTCCGTAGGAGTTTGGTTCTGGGATTGGTGGGAGGGTGGAGGGGAATGGTGGGCTGGGTGGAAGGGAGAGTGGATTGGGCCAAAGGGCATGTTGTGGAGGAGGGAGCAAGGGGTGGGTTGGTGGAGGAAGGGGGTGGGGGAGG